GGCCTGGCGGCCGCCGCGCGCGATGCGTCAGTACAGCGGCCTGCGCGCTCAGACTGGCCCCCTCGCGTCCCCTGATGTCGAAGGATCTCACCCTTGCTCGGCGACTCCAGAGGGTGTGGCCTGCAAAAGGAGGGTGTGGTCTGCAGACCGCGCCCGTGGGGGAGGGGTCGGGCGAGGACCCCGACGGAGATCTCTGCCGCGCCCCGACGAAGGCTCAGCGAACCTCTGGTGCGCTCCTGAGCCCCAGCGTCGACTGCACGCCGCGCAAGAGCGACCCTGGGGCAAGAGTGACCTCTGGTGCGCGGCTCTCGGAGGGGCCGCGGGGGGGGTGGGGGCGGGTGGGCGGGGGGAGGGAGGGGGGGGGGGGGGGGCAAAACACATGCACGCAAGACGCTACTACCGCATCGCGCTCGGCGATGAGGGGGGCGGCCCCGACCAGCCCGCACCAGAGGCCACTCCGGCGACGGGCCACTCCTGCGTGCAGTCGACAGCGGGCCTCCACCTGCCGCTCGGGCACGCTCGGCGCGGAGCTCCTCCGCGCCGCCTGAGCGCCTGCCCCTCTCCCCTCCCCCCCCCCACGCGGCCGCTCTCGTCTTTCTGTCCCCCCCCCCTTGCACGACGCCAGCCAATGAGCCGTCTGGTTGCCCCGATTCGCCCCGCGCTGGGGCGGACTGCATCTGTCTCGCCGCCGACGACGAAAAAGGTTCTCTCTCTCCCTCAAGAAAACACCTGATGAACGGGTGGGCTTGGCCACCACTGCGCCCTGTTCGGGGCAAGGGTCTCGACCAACTTCTCTAGGCTTGCTTGGTGGAGTCATCGTCCCATCAGTTGGGAAAGCTGGCAGTTCTCTTCATCCGGTGAAAACAAGTAATCCACAACGGCGCAGATCGCAACCCGAACACCGGCGTAACCGCACCCACTGCAGCTGCCAACTCGCGCGCGGCCGGCCCGCGAGAGGCCCCCGAGAGGCCCTCCGCGCACCCCGCGCGCGCGCGCGCCCGCGCGCGCGAGGGGGGAGCGGCGGGCCGCGTACCTCCGCCGACGCCCCGCCCTTCGCAGAGGGCGCCCTGGGCCGCCTCCTCCGCGGCGCGCGCGGGCGCGCGCGCGCGGACGACGGGTCGCCCGCCCTGACGACCTGCCAGAAATTTCCCAATCGGCAACACGCCAAAGTGACCCCAGGTGAGAGTGACCTTACCAGCCTGGAACATATCCCTATCCCAATGCTGGGCTCCTCCTCATCACGATGCCAATCTTAGGGATTCCCTTATTTTTGAGGGCGGATCCCTAAGATTGTCATCGCCTTTTGGCGTGTCAATCTTAGGGATCGGGATACGTTCGAGGCTGGTAATGACCCCTGGTGCGCGGATCGAAGGAAGGGCGCGGGGTGGCCAAACCCAGGCGCGCGAGCCGCTGCTACCGCTTCGCGTTCGGCGATCGGGGGACCCCAGTGGGCCCGCACCGAAGGCCACTCCGGCGAGAGGTCATTCTTACGTCTAGTCGACCCAAACCAACCCGAAGGCCCGAATATCGAGTTTGCGGGGGTACGGGATCCACGTGTGTGGTTTGTCAACGTTCCCCAGCGCTCCCCCACCACTGGAAATGGAGTGCGAGAGTGCATGTGGGGGCCTTCGGGTTGGGTTGGGGTGGCTTGGTTTGGTGGGTGGTGATCCCCCCCCGCCCACCCCCCGCGAGGGGCTCAGACTCACGAGCTGCCTTGGCTCGCGCCCTGGCTCCTCCTCCTCCTCCTCCTCCTCCTCCTCCTCCTCCTCCGCACCCTTCTCCTCCATCCCTTCTCCTTGTGAACACCGCCTACCTGTCGCACCCCGAGCCGTCTCGGCAGGGCTGGGCGAGCGTTTCGCATGAGAATGACTCGCCATGAAGGGCGGGTCCTTTTCAAAATGTGGCTTTCGCTCAGCGCCGCACACTCTCGTTATAAGTGTTCGCAAGAGCTTCACGGATGGAAGGCGTGTCCTGCTTCAAAATGTGGCTATCGCATCGCGCCGCGCACCTTTGCTTTCAAAGTTTGCAAAGACGTCCCGGATGGATGGATGGTGGCTCGTGTTCAAAATGTAACTCTCGCCCCAGCGCCGCACACATTCGTTGCAAAAGTTCGCAAGAGCTTCACCTCGTCAAAATATGTCGCTCGCCCCTGCGCCGCGCACATTATTTTGCCAAGATTACGAGGGCTTCCCGGATGGAGGGCGGGTCGTTTTCAAACTGTGGTTGTCGCACATTCGCTTTAAAGTTTGCAGCAGCTCCACGGATACATATCGGATCCTTGTTTAAACATGTGGTTGCCGCCTCAGCACCGCGCACATACTTTTCAAAAGCGTGCAACAGCTTCACGGAAGGAGGGCGTGGCCTTTTCAGAATGCGGCTCTCGCCGTAGTGTCGCCCACAGTTGTCGTCGTCTTCAAAGTTCGCAGCAGTTTCGCGGATGGAGGGCGGATCCTTTTTCGAAAGTTGACTCTCGCCGTAGCGTCGCCCACATTCGCCAAAG